CCACCCCCTCGGACCCCTCTAAAGGCAACAGCCCCCTCACAAACCGCCTCAACTGACGCACATCCCAATCCCTCCGCCACAGCCCCCGATCCTCGACCTCCACGACCTTCTCCTCCCCGGACCGCACGCGACTCACCGGCTCAACCACAAACCCCCCCGGCCCGCCCCGAAAAGAACCCCATCCGCGCCCACTCGCGATTCCAGGTATACCGCTGCACAGCCCGCCACTCCCCCGCCGGAAACGCAATACAATCCAACCAGCTGGCTGCGGCATCCGCTTCACGCTTGTAGCTTGCGCGCTGCGCCACGGTGGGCCGCAGGATGACGGACTGATACAGCCGGTCCACGATCCCGTCGAGCAGCGGCTGGCATGAGGCTGCGTACGGTAACTCGGAGAAGTGTGGGAGGCGGTTGAACGAGATGGCCAGGGTCCCGGCGCCGTTGGGTTTGAGGACGGTGTGGAAGGCGTGGAGGGCGGTAGCGAGGTCGGGGAGGAGGGGGAACATGAGGGCGCTGAGGATGAGGTCGGCGGAGGCGGGTGGCAAGTGTGCGGCGAGGTGCTCGGCGCGGGTGAGTGTGTAGGTGAACTGCGGGGTGGCTGCGTTGGTGGTAGGGGGAGTGGGTGGTGTGGAGGTTTTGGGCGTAGGTGAGGTGGCGGGGGTCGATGTCGCTGACGTTGACGTGGGGAATTTGTGGGAGAGGGCGTATGCGACGTGGCCGGGGCCGGGGCCGATGTCGTGGGCGAGGGTGAAGGTTGGTGCCGTGGATGAGCCTGAGGCTGAGGTGTAGATCTGGTTGTAGAAAGAGGCTGGGTAGGTGGGACGTGTGCGAAGGTAGTGGTTCCAGTAGGTGGTTGTGTCGTTGTTCGGGGAGACTTCCCAGCTGCGATGGTGTGAGGTCGCAATTAGGGTTCTTCGGGGCGGTCTTGGAAGATTCGTAGCACTGGTTGGGGTGAGGTGCTGCTGGGAGATGATCCCTCGAACATCGAACATATGGCTTTGATCTATGCTGGATATGGTGTATTGTGGGGTATATGGGCTGCACATGTAAACATCGGCTCGGAACGAACAGCATCAGTTCATCTCTACGCTAGTAATGTTATCGTGCTCAAATTGACTTTTACCAGGATTGATAGGACGTCAACTGAACTGGGGAGACACAAGAGTCGATTACTTCACGACTAGCATTAGGGCAAGAAGAGCTGCCCTGATCCGCAGGGTGAGGCCTCCGATAAACGAACGTAAAAGGGCTCTATGGATAGAACAAACGTATGCTTAGTCTCAACGGACACACCAAGACCCAAAATCATCCCAAGTTTGGTTTCGACAGGGATGAAAAATAGCAACCAACCTCCTTTGACATAGCGAACGTCCTCAACGCTTATGCGCTGCCTGTGTGTCTCAGATGTGATCAGTTTGGAGCTCTTCCTGTGATTTTATGGGTTGGGTGGAGGAAGACGTGCACGAACAGCTCACGTCGGTTCTTTTCAGCACTGCCGTCCCTGTCGCGCTTGTTGGGTTTTATAATGGTATACACAAGGTAGAGAAAGACTGGAGACACGATGATGGCCAGTATCTGTATGTTTAGGAGGGTGTCATAGATGCCTCACATTACAGCGACGGCGACTTTATCTGACATGTCTTTGGGGATTGGTGCCATTTTTCTTGCGGCTCTGGAGTAAAAGAAAAAGGTATAAAGGGATGTAGTTATGAGCTCTGCTGAAATGTGCGTGTGGTTTGATAGGTGTGGTGATAGAGGAAAAGAGAAGATATAGGAGGAGGAGACATCTTGCGGGAAAATGACGAACTGACTCAGAATTACAGAAGAATGGGTTACATCCTAAATCGGATGTCACGGATAGGTTATTGACACAGAACTGATTGTACTTGCCGCGCTCTCTGTTAGTAGTAGTAATGCAGGGCAGTGCTGGACCTACACAAGGGGCCTGACGGTAGTACCACAGGACAACTGTACCCACTGAGCAAACAATTGCGAGGGCCAGGACCAGTTCCCTTCTCATTCTAGTAGCTGAGCAATGTGTCGAATGCTATACAGGTCAAAGACCGAGTCTGTACCAGCCAAGCATGACGGCCCTCAACCCCCAATCGGGCATATTCCTCTAGCGCAATAAGGAAGGAGTAGGACTCGATTACAGGGCGGCTGGTAAACCATCTGCTGCTCATCTCTGAAAGGAAAGCGACCGTGTGAACAACTGAGACCAACTGCCGAGATCACATCGGTTCGACGACCCATGACTCTCCGCCTTTTCAACCAGAGTACATCGAAACCGTGGAGTGCCGTTTCTGCACAGCCCTAACTTGCTGCTTCGCCGCAGCGATCCTCTATTACGCCTACATATAGTAGTTGGGCTGAGCAGTTCGATGCAGTACTCAAGTATGGTACCTGGCTTTAGGGTGCCATTCGCGGTGTCCAAACTGTGGGCTAAAAGCCCTAACTGGAGTATGGCCCGGCACCATGCAAAAGAAAATGTAGGATCGACGTTTACCCGATTTGGGCTAACAGTTTAGGGACAGCACCTTGAGGACAGTCTGATTCAAATAGATCTTAATGAGGGTAGGATGATTGAATCACGAAGAACAAAAGTATGGGAACAAACAATAATAGGACTCCTTCTCAACCTTCAGCATAGCCCCGTCCCCCACCACCCCCCAGAGCCTTCACATATTTAAAGCTCAAAGCAAAAGACGTCTGTAGGAACGAAGATGCGGGCCAGCCGATGAAAACCCCAGAGACAGGTAAAACCTGCCGGAATCGTCTCCAGCTATATATTCCACCCCGTTCGTGACAACCAATGCAACCACCTCACTGGCATTCCATAGCCGGAGTCCCAGCACCACACTGGCAGCCCGACTTGCCCGCCTCAGCCATACAGACACAACCATCAGACAGGGCATCGGTGCCCTCAGTGTCAAATCCCACGCCGGAGCAGGAAGAGCCCGTGCAGCACTGGTTGATCAGGGACTGGGCGTAGCCGTGGATGTAGGCAACATCGACCGCGTCTCCCTGTGGGAAGAAGGAGAAGGTGCAGGAGCCAGATGTCCAGTAGGTGTTGTCGTTGCCGCTGACGGTGCCGGAGGTGGGAATTAGGGCAAAGGCCGCGTAGCAGTCGGAGCTGGTTGCTTTGTCGCAGTCGCCGCAGGTGATGGTCGAACCGGCGAAAGTGGTTGTGGCCATGGAGGCCAAGGTAAGGAAGTATTTGGGGTTCATAGTTGTAAAATTGTATCAAGTGTATGCTCGAGTCGCGTGTGAAATGCAGAGTCTTTAAGAAAATCTGAGGTGGTTAATGAATGTTGGACTTCTGGAGTTGTATGAGGGTATTTATACTTCTACGCCATACTGCCGTACTGCCATACTGCTATACCAAAACTATGGCTCCGACAGACAGCCGGCCAACTTAACCGTCCTTCACAGAGGATCCAGCCCCCAAAGTACGGGATTTCGCATCCCCACAGCCCGTTGGTAGAGAGAGATTAGAAACAGGTTATTCCCGGGGGGCCTGACTCCAAGGTAGTACTCGGCTGTCGGACGTAGATACTGTGCGATTGACATCATATCCCACGCATGGCGAGAAATAATGCATACTCGTGGGGCCTCCCGAGGAACGGATGTATTTTACTGTACCTTGTAGAGCTCGATCCGAATTGTAGGCAAAGTGAGCCCCTTACGAATCGAAAGCCTTGACTGAGTCCGAAAAACTCCTGGAAACAAAGTTCAATCCAACAATCGGGATAGATATTCATACATACAACAAGGAACCTTAAGCATCTTGCAACCCAGCATTTGACCCTAGAACCCTATATAAGACATCGGTATTAAGCTTTAAGCCGCATACTAAGGTAGGCTAAGCTTCGTCAACAAATCAAGTAAGCCGGAGGGCCGCCCCACAAGTCCGCCCAGCCTATAAGAGCCTGTACATAGAGTACATAGAAGTCGCCAGAGTGGATAAGCAAGCCCCTGCGTACAGACGGCGGCTTTACGTGTTCGACCGTCCATCCTTCGGACGACAAAGCCTGCAGGTAGGTCGGATTAGTCGAGCGACCCAATCATACCTCTTGCTTGCAGAATGGGCCTATCCACAAACCAAGGCTGCATCAAAATACATCGGATTCTAATGTTTTGGGGTAGCTGGGCAGAGCTTAGTCCTTTCTTGGCTCAACTATAGAAGCATACACAGTTTATCCGGCATGGGCCGTCCCTGCTTCTGGTATCAGGGGTCTTCGGCAAACTTGCCAGCGCAGGGTCAGGGTCTCCACCGAAATACCGGTATAGCCTGCACGTGGCTTATTAGGATCAGAATATATGTCCGTTTTAACTGGATAGTGTTGATTTTCGCCAATGAATATTCATACTAGAGTCTTGGTAGAGAAGTTCTACTGTTTTCGGGAGCTGGAAGGCATTCCAACATTCCAAGTGCCGAGTTCGAAGTAGACGTACTGTACATCTGACTCCTTGAGACCCGTGCTGCCAGCGTGTCAGCTTAGGGTTGGCCTTTGTAGTGTGCAGCGAACTCGTAAGGTCATACAAGCATATTACCCCTATACCAGAGCTTGTCTTTTGTCTGATATAGATTATTGCTACGCAATCATCCTGTATACAGCATGCTGCGTGAGATGTCCCCTGTGCCGTACTCGACATCATCCAATCTCTGATTGAGACGCTGCTAAGTTACCTCGGCTTACAAATAGCGGTACCAACCGCGCGGTATACTGTACCTTATATACCTGCTGCTGGTGCCAGCTATTCTATTATACCCGATATTAATTGCGCGGAGCACGGTCTGCAGGGGTTATTAGTTTGATCTAGTCTTAGGGTTCGTGGACCTAAGGATCTTGTAGATGTACATACATGAGTCCAGTGTCATGTGTGATATCTGAAGCATTGAAGCTTTTGTTTAATCTTAACAAAATAGAACAAAAGCCCAGCTCCTCTGTGAAACCTCCCACCGAGGAAACCGAGTGTAGAGCAGAAAGGATAACGTTTAGAGACCTGAATTTCTGTGCCCATAAGCTTCGTACATACATAAGAAAGTCATCGAGTTCCGAGTCTAATTTCCCTCATGTTCCCCCTATGCCTTCCTCCGGCGCACCTTTGCTCTTCTACCCACACAGTACCATTAGTATGTCGATAGCATTCGCATATCCAAGTTCCCCCTCCTTTGGCATCCCAATCAGGAAAGCCCATTCTACCCCCTCGAGCACACCCTTCTTGTTTTCGGACTTTACTGTATTTGTATGCCAGAAAAGATTTCTGGGTAAAAAGACATGATAAATCGCAATGATATAAGCCGTTTCATCCTGCGGACACGTTCAAGAAGTAGAGGTTGAGGGGGGGAAGGTCGAGTTAGCACCACAATAGGCAGCGTAATGCAGAGCTATGTGGCCGGGTGGCGGGAGTTCTTGGAATGAAAGGGTCGAAGTCTCTCAGCATTGAGCACAAAGTCTTTTGGGTACATGAGACATCGCAACGTTCCTAAAGCGCAATGGCCGCCGTCTCGTACAGGCCCCGAGTGAGACCCGTTACTGCACACCAAGTCCCAAGTCCACGATGACACTGCCACTGTCAACTCCCCAGCATCACGGGGCACAGGTTATTGAGCATCTTTTGCCACCAACGCGCTAGCAAACCCCATCACCTCGTTAGCTCTATTCTTTTCGATCCTCTTATCCTTCGAATTACTGCTGATAGGAAATCTGTACTTCATTCTTTCAAGCCTATAACGGATGTCAGCTTTTAATCCATATCACTCAATAACCTCATAGGCGCGTCTGCATACCTATTCCCCTTCAGCACTCCAGGACAGCAGTAGCAGCATTTGAGTGTCCAGCTATAGTTAATGGCTCCTTTACTAACAGACAGTGAAAGTTCTGCTTACCAACAATCAATGTATTCACATAGATCAATATACTTATAAGCCAATGGATTCACACAAATGTCCCTCCCTGAAGCGCTAGCTTTGCAGTTCTATAACGGT